ATGATCTAGCTTCAATTAACTCATCATCACAACTATTAAAAAGATTACCATAATATTCACAAAACACCATCAGATGAAAATAGGTGGTAAAAACAATGTAATCTACTTTAGAAAACTATCCTTTCATATTGGCAATTCGTACTAATATATTTAAGGGTGAGTAGTAAATCTTGAACTGAATGGATAGGATGTAAAGAATAGTTCTAAGTTAGTTAACCCCTGAAGAGGTTAGACGCAGAGTATTAGGGAATGATGGTAATACAGTTGATGAGGTTGTGAATCTTCATCGACTGAGATGGTTAGGCCACGTGTTACGTATGCTTGAACACCGATTACCACGACGTGCAATGCTAACCGCTGTTGGAGTGGTTGGAAGAAAGTTAGGGGCGGCCAAACCAAAACGTGGCATCAACGCTTGAAGTCATTAACTTCTAGTGTGAGCCATGTTGGTAGATGCCAACTAATTGGTTAGGGTCTGCGCGACTATCGTAACCAATGGTTGGAGACTCTTGGTGACATGGTTCAGAATCGATCACAATGGTGTAGGTGTATACACTCTCTGTATTCCCTTAAACTAAGAGATTGAAATCGCTTTATGCCTTTCTTTCTACAAACTAATTCTTTCTTTCTGTACTATATATTTATATGCAATCTTTCTTTTATATATTACTACCTCTGAATTAACTATTTCTATGAATTTGGTATTCATCTTGTTGTGTTAATGAGTGGGGTATGACAACTTGGACCGATGCGTTGATGTGTCTGTTCCTACATTGTAGCTGACTGACTGACTAACCCTATGAACTTGAATGATTCATATTTTCCACAATAATGATTACATAAATCATTTGATTTCATCTCATATGAATTAATTTTGATAAAAATTAGTTGTGACTTATCTAAATTTAATCATCATTATGATTATAACGTGACAATCAGTGATTATATTAAATTAGATTATGTCAGTAAGTAGGTTAAATCATTTTAGTTCTCTTATCTATTGTCTACATTCGATGGATGATTGTCTATAAAAATGTATGATGCAATTCATACAAATATAACTAATCATGAACTAAGGATACTTACCAAATATATAGTGGATACAAGGATACAAACATAGAATAGTTGATAAGGAAATGTGAAATGATTATTTTGAATTCAAACTAACTATATATCAATGAGATGTTACTTACTTACTTACTTACTTACTTACTTACTTACTTACTACTTACTTACTTACTTACTACTTACTTACTTACTTACTTACTTACTTACTTACTTACTTACTTACTTACTTACGCCTGTTACTCCTCGTGGAGGAGCATAGGCCACCCACAATCACACCCCATTCAACTCTGTCCTGGGCAATTCTTTCCAATTGATCTCAGTTGTTATTTATTCTTTTCATATCTGCTTTTATTTCCCAATGTAATGTGTTTGATGGCCTCCCACTTTTCCGCTTCCCTTCAAGATTCCAAGTTAGGACTTGCTTCCTGATGTGGTCTAGTGGTTTCCGTAATGTATATCCTATCCACTTCCATCGTCTTTTCTTAATTTCCTCTTCACTTGAAAGCTGGATTGTTCACCCCCACAGTAGGCTGTTGTTGATGGTATCCGGCCAATGGATGTTGAGTATGTTGCGTAGATAACCATTTATAAATACTTGTAACTTCTTGATGATGGTTGTAGTATAGTTGTCCTAGTTTCAGCTCCGTACAATAGGACTGTTTTGACGTTCTTATTGAAGGTTGCGACTTGGATATTGGTTGACAGTTGTTAAATTAATCCTTTAATAATTCGTATTGATCTAGAATTAATTAATTGACTAATTGCTGTCATTGAATGTCTATCTTATGCAGGAAGGTAAAGCACGCTCAATATGGAATATGATTTATTGGATTTTAAAACAATAATTCAGTTTTAACATACTCCTTATATGCGATGAATATTCTGGAATAGACTCCTAGTAGATCCCTTAAGAATTCATTACCAAGACAAAACAACTGCTTAGTGATCCTTAAATTTCAATTGTTGTCTTCTAAATTTAGTTCTTATTGTGAACCAACTTACTATTGAGATGAGTTATGGAGTTTGTAATCACTTGAAAAATTAACATTACCCTTGTACGACTGCATAGTTCGTATAAACGGGTAATCATATGACTAATACAATGGATAAAAATTCTTCGTTTGTTTGCCAAGCAAAGAATTAACGAATTTTGATGGTTGAATTCATGAGTCGACTTAACCTAGACCACCACTGAAAACCTGGAAGCACTGGACCACCGTTTCGTCCCAGTATGGGACTCCTCATGGGCCCAGCGACTAAAATTACTACAATCTCCACAAACCGCAATTCTGATAATAATCATCATGCGCCCGCCAGTGACTGACTTTAAGATGAATTTCCTGAGATTCTAATAAGAAACCGTGACCAGTGGAGTTCAACCGTGTCAGTTATGAGGCAGTTACCTACTGAAGACAATAGTGAACGGTCACGCAATATCGTGGATTGATTGAAGTTAGACACTAACACCGTTGGATACCGACTCAATGGTCTAGAGGTAAAGCATTTTCACGTGAGATCAAAAGTACTGGTTTGGAATCTCGCGATGCAGAATCGTGGATGCGCACTGCTAAGGAGTTCCATAGTAAAACGAAACGGCCGTTCAGTGCTTCTATGTTTTCCATAGTGGTGTAGCTTGATTAATTCAACTACTGAATTGGTATAATATCCACAAAACCCCCATCTGATTGTACGGTACTGACTGAATAATTATTTAGTCAAGGTGTTTGTATTACTACTTTAACATGAAGTGAAGTAATTTCTCCTAAATGAGATTACATTGAAATCAAGATCATGTTGAAGATAACAATCGTCGGTTGAAATTAAAGAAGTAGAAAATCTCTGGATAGTCTGTTCATCACTATCATATTCTTATTCATATTATTATGAATGTGAATGATCATGGTGATAACTAGACAAAAAGCTACACTTAGTTTTAATAAAGTGAATTCTAATCAAAATTTAATTGAAACAGCTCGGCATAGTGACTAAACGGTCAAGCTCATTTCTATATAGTTAGTAATATCTGATATGAAATAATCAACTATTTCTAACCATAATTGATTATGTAATAAGTAGTTATATTATTCAGACGTCTAATGATGACATGTTTATGAAAACAATGAGTAGTACTCATGAAGTAATCAAATAATCTCTTTAAATGAGGTCAATAGCGTTAGTGATTATCACTAGATAAGTTTTTTTTGTTGCTTATTTTCTACAAGATAATCATATAGTATGATATTTACACTAAATACATTGGGTAACATTAATCCTACAAGTTTCAGATCTAACGTATTGTAATCATTTGCCAGTACATATTCATCAGCTTTATATGAATAGGAAAGTCTTTACGACTTTCCTGGAATTTGGTAAACAGTTATCGTTGTTGCTTTACGCCAGATGGTAGAACATTCAGTGTCATTTGTTAGATCTCTCAAAACATATCAAAGAACTGTTATATGTACAGTTTGTGAAGAGAAACAATTGAATGGAAAAATAAAACTAATCAAGTTTTGTATGAGGGTTAAATCACTTAATTGAACAGAATACAACTGAAATAGTAAAGCGCTGATAATAAATGCTTAACTATCCTGGATAACTGGTTGTTGCTAGGGTACTACTGAATTTTCTAATCGGGGAAATCTAGTCAAAATGCAAAATCTTTAAAATAAAATAGATACTGATGATTATTCGTATGATGAAAATCCATATTGAATATATTGCACCACTTCGTTTAAATGAATAACCGATTATAGATGACACCTTATCAATAAACATTTTCGGATACCTAATCCAAGTATGTAATGTTGAAAAAGAACAATTTTCTCAACAAAGTACGTTACACAGTGAAGTCATGTGAGTATTTCAAAGAGAGCAGAGAACTGGGTTGCATGTGTACGCTCCTAGGGGGATATATCATATTAACAAAACTAGCTTTCCAACGAAGCACAGTTTTCAATCATACCTACAACTTCACAAGGATTCAAAACTGAAATCTATATTCATATCGCACTTGATATCACAACTATAACGAAAATGGATGCTTATTCTTAGCCGCTGATAAAAGTAATCTATGTGGTATGTACATAGGAATAACTATTCCATGACTTATTCCATAATGCTTTTGTATAACTTTTGCATTAACAACGATTTTGGTTATAGTTAATGGTATCATATTTTCAAATTAATTACAGGATTGAATTCAAATACCCTGGTACGGCCGAGGGTGGGTAGAGTCAGCTCTCCCTCTCCAAATGTTCTGACATGGCCATGTGCATACAACCACTGACAGGGAAGTCCTACTCACTGCATTCTCATGGCATTCCTGTTGCTTACGAAATTGAGAGGACGGAAATTTAATATCTAGCGCTCTAACCGGGTTTGTGGACATGGAGAGTCCACCTAGGGTAGTTGGAAAACCCTCGTTCCAAACCAATCGTGCACATTGGCTCCGGTATCCTGAGGGAACAAATGGCGCATGAATCAACTGTCAGTCACCGACTACCATGGGACTGCATCTACTAACAGTGTTCCACTGACGTGCGGATTAGGCCTTTAGGTCCGTGTGTGGCCCCCTAATAAAAACACCTATTTCATTCTGAACACCCGGACAGTATCACACAAATCAAGTGAATTGTATGTCGCATTTCTATTCTTTGCCCCTTTATATCAATATTTATGTATTCAAATAAATTGAATTCAAATGATGAATATATTTCATAATGTTGTATTCATTTAAGCTGTCTAGGTCAATCATAAGTTTTCAACTTAAAACAATCATTGGATTTATACACATATAAGTTCAAAATAATAAATCAAGATAATTAATAAAAAAATCTGTACAAATACATTAGATAAAATAATTAGAAAATAAGGCAAAATGGGATGGGATAGGATCGGATGGAATGGAATGAAGGATGAATGAAGTCTGTCTAACACAGTTGAAATAGTTCAAACTTTCTTCTAAATTGATCTGATAAAGATAGATAGTTATATACAAAGTAAAAGTAATATTGTAACACATATACAATATTACATGATGGTATAACTGTATTTGTTAAAGTTCCTTTAATAGTAGATAATGGAGAAATAGTCAAGTTACGTTTTTCTCCACCTATACGTTTAAATGGTAATAAAGGAATAGGGGGACATGGTGAGAATAAATAACGACGATGACAATTTCTACCACCACCTGTTCGATTTATAGTTGAAGGTAAACGTAACTCAGTGAATCGTCTTTTTTTGACAAATTTTCTTCGTACACTATCAACACATATATCCTAAAAGATAAGAACAAATATGAAAAAAAAAGATAAAGAAACCGAATAATGCAAGTAACAGATAAACTCAGAGGACATTTTTCTCGTGTGTATTAGTGTATTTGATTGAGATCATGAACCGATCGATGTTAGACTACCATTAGAAACCTGGAATAAATGGACGTTATTTCGTTCTATTGTGAGATTCCTAGCAGTGCGCATTACGATCCCATTCTCGAAATTCGAACCCGGAGCCTTTAGTTTCGCGTGCGAACGCTTAACACTTCTAGACCACTGAGTCAGCATTCAACGATGTTAATGTGTAACCTCAACCAATCAGTGGATGCACAATGCTGTAGAGTTACACAATAGAACGAAACGTCCGTCCAGTGATTCCAGGTTTCAAATGGTGGTCTAACATCAATAGGTTCATGATCTCAATCAAAAACTTAATAATCTCCACAACCCTATACTGATATTAGTGTACTAATCGTATTAGGCAAATGTGAGTTTTAGGTTAAATTTTGTATAATATTAAGCATAATGATATGGATGAATGGAGGGATGGTTACGTTAAGCTTTTATTGAAAGTAACAACATATCTACCTTGGCCAAATTATCATTTTAAAATATACTATATCAGTTCTTATATAATCGTTTCATCACATACATGGTAGCATAATAAATTACATACTAACGAATTGAAACAATCATTTTAATGACCTTGATGGTTGATGTTACAGTATATTTATGAATATGCACTAATTCACACATAACTAGTAATTAAAAGAACCAAGGCAACAGACACTTGACCTTTGCATGAATGACATAATGTCTAGAATATATTGTTATTCCCAGTGTATTTAACTTGATCTTTTGAAGTATACAAAACAAGTTCCTTTCGAATTACGTCATCTTAGACAGAAGCAATCAAAATAAATTAATTGGATAAATTAAATTAGGTGAAGCGTAGAGACAGACTTGTACGTGTATAGTATAAATTAGATCATAATAAAACCTAAAAATATATGTCTTTATGTACAACCGTTAATATTATTGAAATAAAAGTTCTGTAACTCACCTCTAAATGTTCATTTGCATAATTAGTGTATTTCGAAGGTGATAAATAATTCATATTCATCGACATTTTCAATAACTTTGATGATCGTACAGAAGTAACATTCAAATTTTCATCATCATGTTGAGATTTCTCAGCAGAATATTGTATTGTATAATCTGAGGAGATTTCACCTACTGATCGACTCCATTTCAATACTGGTGTTTGTTCTATACAATTCTCTAATTTCAATTGTTGTTTACTTTTAAGTGTTCGTGAAATCTCCATAGGTGATGAATCTAACATTTGAAAATTAGCTAAACTTGTCGGTGTCGGTGTAGCAAATCTAATAGCTGTACGTAATGGTGGTGAATCGTCTAATTGTTTAGCATCTTCTTTATTTGTTTGAACTTGATTCAAATGACGTAACTGTGGGGATAATAATAATGTCAATCGATTATTCTTTATTTGCATCGATTGTTGTTTCATCGTATTATGTAATGGTTGACAGTCTGTTTTAAATATTGTCATGTAAGGACTATTAGTACAAATATCTTGTACCAATGAATAAGGTAATAAAAATATATCTAAACCAATTTCAATTAATAAACTTGTGATAGAATTTAGTTGAAGACATTTTTCTTGACATTCAATTGGTGGTTGTTTATGGTTCTATAAAGAAAAAGAAAATAAATAGGATGATGAGTACCATTTCAAAATGAATTATCTTATGTCAGTCAGTCAGTAACAACGTAGAACTTCGTACGTACGTACATCAGTTCGATTTACCATACCACATTAGCACAGAGATGCAGTTGTCGATTCAAATCCCGTAGCAGTAGAGGTAGTAAGAGTATAATCAGTAATCGGGAAGATTAGGGTTTGGAGATGTTATAATCCAATCAAATAAATTTGGGAAGAGAAAAAAGAGACAAGGAGGAATCAAGACATTAAAATTTGTGAGAACACAAAGAGTGTATGCATCTGCGTCATTGCAAACGATTTTCAGCCATGTCATTAGGGTCTCCAGCCATCGGTTGCTATCATCTCGCGGTCTCCAATCAGGTAGTCTACACCTACCAACATGACTCAGTCCACTTGTCAGTGACTTCATGGACTTATATACTTTCAATTTATCATCAATATCAGTTCATAAATACCATCATAATCCGCATCATTATGATCTCGGTAATTGTCATCTGTATAATTCAATTTTATCAATACTGAATAAGGTATTAGTGGTAATACTATTATTACTCATTCCACTATTCTAATCAAGTGTAGTAACTTAAACTGATGGACACATGAGTGAGGTTCCATGTTACGTATAATTGACTGACCGACTGACTGACTGACTGTACTAAATGATTAATTAAAATGTCTACTGTTATTTCTGATCCGTTCAAAACTGATGAAAATCAGCCGACAAAAACTATTCTTCCATAATATAAGATTTGACGAATTATTTATTTATTTGAACAAATAAACATCGGTACAAGGGGACACCAAATCTATACGCACCACACAATAACAATGAGGTTGTGAACAGATAGAAAATGTAGAATGTGTATTAGAAAAAGGAGAGCAATAATGAACAGAAATTAGTATATGGTATTGAGATAATAATAATATTAATTAACTAGGCGGCCTGTTTTAATGTCTGCGTTACCTGTTCCTGTCATAAAAACATTTCAATAAGTTATCTGGGTGTTTTTTAACAGATCATTATATCAATTAACTGCATAACTTATTCAAGTGCGTTTGTGAAAATTTCACAACCTTTCACTGTATTTGTCAGAAGAGAGTACAATCAAAGACATTGTGGTTCCTGGCAATATACATCGAACCGAATATACATTATTCAGATATCGGTTCCTATACTACTAACATCTAATTGATCACTCAATTATTTATTGTCAGGATCGTTGTAGAAATAAGGAATGGGAAACTTGTTGAAATTATTTTTTCGCTGAGAATACTATCTTGTTGCCGCGAGAAATCCGTGAGTAGGAATTCCCTGATAGTGGTTTTTATACACATGATCACCTGAGAGGATTTCTAGAGGAAGAACTGAATTTCTTCACTCTTGACATACCACGGCATTTGGGGAGGGGGCTACTTGCTTTCTGTTTATGATATAAAAGTCCATTATGAATTAAAGTAATTTAATTATAAAATTGATTTGATTAAAAATCATAATAGAAATTATAATCTCTATGTTCAGACAAGTAGAAAAAAAAAAGATATTTAACATCATTTCAATGTTGAATGTCTAGAACCATATTTGAATTATTCAATTCAATCTTTAAACAAGAACATCATTGAAAACATTCAGATTGTCTTATCGGATAAGATAATAAAGTTTGTATGTACGTTCAGATTATACGCCGGAAACAACAATAACAACAACAACAACAACCAAAGTACTAAAACACAGCATGTGAACAGTTTGTTTTTTTTTTGTTCAAAAACAAACAAATAAACAAGACAATGAAACAAGTTACCTACTGTGTTATAATTTAAAAAAGAAGAAACTTAATAAATTCTATTCTCTATATTGAATGAAGTCATGGTAACATAAAGTAGATTATATGTATATATATCGAGATGGAGATAATAATAATAAAGATGTTTGAATGATGAGTAAGAAATTTCCTTCATTTAACTAACTATATTTTGTTTATTAATTGATAATGGAATAATGAACAGAATGTATATATATTGAATATAGAATTTCTAATTTCTTCAATATATACAAACTCATTGAACACGTGCATTACTGTTGTTTACGAAATTGAGAGAACAAAAATCGAATGTCCGACGATTTAAATGGATTGATGGACATGGAGGGTTCACTTAAGGGAGTTTAAAAAAAACACCCTAATTCCAAATCAATGGTGCATATGGGACCCATCACTCTGAGGAACCAGAAGGTGAATAAACCTATTGTTGATCTTCAGCTACCATGCAACTACATCTTCTGACGTTGCTCCACCGTGTTGTGGATCAGCCCTTTAGGTTTAAGACTCCGGATGTGACCCTCTAAGAAAACCATCCAGTTCGGTTTGAGCACCCGGGCAGTATCTAAGCCCTCATACAAATTGAATGGTTTCTGTGATGTATATCTAGTTGATGGCTCCTTTGTACCAAGTTAATAAATTCCTTTCCGAATGAATTGCGCGGCAATCCGTCCTGTTTTAATTTACGGCAGCGAAATATGGCCATTAAGTTTAGAAGACACTCGTAACCTACTAGTATTTGACCACAGATGCCTTAGAAATATTGCTGGTGTCTGCTGGGATCACCGGGTAAGTAATATTGAGGTTAGACACAGAGTATTAGGGAATGATGGTAATACAGTTGATGAGGTTGTGTTGAGTATGCCTGAACACCGATTACCACGACGTGCAATGCTAACCGCTGTTGGAGATGGTTGGAAGAAAGTTAGGGGCGGCCAAACCAAAACGTGGCATCAATGCTTGAAGTCACTAACTTCTAGTCTGAGTCATGTTGGTAGATACAGACTACTTTCTTGGGTTCCGCGTGACTATCGTAACCAATGGTTGGAGACTCTTGGTGACATGGCTCAAAATCGATCACAATGGTGTAGGTGTATACACTGTCTGTCTTCCCTTAAACTAGGAGATTGAAATCGCTTCATATCTTTCTTCCTACGAACTAATTCGTTCTTCTTGTACTATATCATTATATGCAATCTTTCTCTTTATATATTACCACCTCTGAATTAACTACTTCTATGAATACGGTGTTCATCTTGTTGTGTTAATGAGTGAGGTATGGCAACTTGGACCGATGCGTAGATGTGACCGGTCGTACGTTGTAGCTGACTGACTGATTTTCTGAATGAATTTAACTGATTGGGAAAAAATGAAAAAAAAAGGAAAGAAAAACAACAACAACAACAACAGCGACAACAAAGAAACTTACTTTTAAACTTTTAATTGTTTCATATAATAAATCATTTGATAATAATACTGGTCCAAATATTGTACCTAAACATGAACTTGTCATACGATTAATAGAATTTAAATTTTTAACACGAATTAATAAATGTAATAAACATTTTAATATTTTCATATTTGTATTAGGTAATAATTGAATTAATAAACGGATTGCTTTAATTTGTTTACTTTCAATTAAATGAATTAAATAATCATTATTTATGGAGCAGGATGATGATGATGATGAATTTGTATCCTGGGTAATGAGAGGTTTATTATTATTATTATTCTTTAAATGAAATTGATCAAATTTTCTTAAAGCTAAAACAAACAAAAAAAACAAAAAAGAAATAGTTACTATGCTGATAAATAAATAAATAAAATCGATTGATGTTAGACCCCCCCCCATGATTTCAATAAAAAAAACAACAATAATCTCCAAAACCCAATACTGATAATTACCATTTGCTTATTTGTGAAGGAATTCTAGGAGTTCTAATTAGAAGCCCTAATCAATGAAGTTAATTCATGTTAGTTAGAGAGATAGGTATCTATTTCAGTACAATGAAAGATAGTCGAGCAACTTGGTGGATTAGTTGAAGTTAAACATTAACATCATGATTGATTGTTGAATTGTTCACAAATTACTCTATACATTCTCAAATACTATTTAGAATAATTAGATCCATTCTAAAATGATTATCATAATTATCATTTAAAACTAATGCTATTACTATTCAAATTAGTAACTATACCGTATAATTTAAATCTGTGACTTATTGATTGGACAAGGAATGCTTTAACCACACACACACACACACATTTGAGAAAATGTTCATTAAACTACTCCATATTGTTTAACTACTAAGTAGTAAGTTTTAACTAAATATCGTAAACACTTCACATTATCATATATACTCTCTCTCTCATATGCATATAACTATACAATATATGTGGTCTATTATACTAATATAGAACAATACAACTCTATCTAGAACACACGAATGTCTATCGTTACAAAGTGTCATATCGTGTCCTATTAATAATCTGAATGATTAATGAATATCATTGATGAAGAAAAAAAAAGGAAATTACATTTACATTTATGACAACCATTATGTATGACTGATACAATGAAAAGAATGGCGATCAATATCAAATAGCTTAGTAACCAGGTCAATATTATTCACTTTTGTCTATTATATTAATTTTATTTTTTTTAAAAATTTGAACAATTATTTACTGAATGTATCATTAACATTGGTTAATGGATCAATAATAATAGTAATGACATATGCAAAGATGGATAGTGCCTAGCAGTGAAATCCAGTTTAACGTACGGTTTCGTCCTATTTAGGAAGATTCAAACAAATAATACCAAGTGAATTTAAAACTTCACCCCATTACACAACCAAGTGATTATCAAGACTCAGTAGCTAAGTGGGGAACGTGATGGCATTTGAAGCAAAAGGTATTGGATTCGAATCCCATAGCAAACAACAACACTGAGATGTAGGTACATCCAGTTGACGTGTACCAAATAGGATTAAATGCATGTCCTGGTTTTCACTGCTAGCCACTATGCTTATAATACTTGTGAATTAAGGCTATATCGAGGCAATTCGCACAGGATGCACATATGCCAATAAGAGACTGATCAATCACAGTCCTAAATAGCAATGGGAAGATACAACTAAACTATACAAAGTGAAGTTAATAATAATAGTTGTCATATTTAAATAACTATGATTATTTTCTATTACAAGTTTACTGAATAACAAAATAGTATTATAATAAAGAAGTGTGGATAACATTCGAAGTTGTATTCATTAACATAATCTCAATTGATATGTGTATATATGTGTGTATACAGTCATAACTTTCATTTCCATCACTCTTCTATACTTAAATCTAGAAAATGACATATACACACATATATAGATAGTTTTATGAAATGGGTTAGTGTTCACCTTGTTGCGCTAATGAGGTATAACAACTTGGATTAATGTATATATGTGCCTGTAACCGACTAACTAATTGACATTTTACATTTCTAACTTTAATTTATGAAAGTTTGAGATAAGAAATTCTAAAATAAAAGATCATCATATTGATATTAACGAGTAATCGGTTATTGATATGGTGTTATGATTGGTTAGAATCAGTATATAAACATTACCCAGATCTGTCATTAAATTATGTTATTCTCTCCATTATATTAGTAACTAAGGTAAACCTTAATCCTGATTAGAATGTAATTGTAAATTGTCAGAAATAATTTTACAAACAATCAAAAAATCTGAGAGAGGTTTTGTAGATATTATAGTAATTTAGTGATTGAATTCATAGGTGCTGGGTTTGAATCTCACGAGGCAGGATCGTGAATTAGTACTGCTGAAGAGTCCCGTAATATGACGAAATGATCGTCCAGTGTTTTTCTAAGTTTTCCATAGTAGTATAGCTTCAATTGACTCATGAATTCACTTACTAAATCAAATAAACAAATAATCCCAATACACCATTAATTCAAATTGGTTAATTCCTATAGAGTTCAGAATCTATAATAATCATATAGACCCCTATATATATACATACATACTAAATTTAACGGTTAATAAGTCGACAATAAATATACGCTTATAGACTAAAACAAACAGATGAGTAATAAATTGTACCAGATACTAAATATTAATGAGATCGAAGTCTAATTCGAAAGTGTTTAGCCTGTTTAAATCTATTCAATTTGACTGTCATAATGAATTAAGTTGATCAAAAATAATGTCTATCTGAAGAGTGAGTAAAATCGTTCTTTTTTTATGGTTGAGACATGATTAGTAGTGTAATTCAATCTGTAGAACCATGGCAACAAAACTAATCATGATATATCGAGTATTAACAAGTAATACTCTCGCGAGAGAGAGGGAAAAAAAAGTGATAAAAATCTGGAAAAGTTAATCTTATATACGTAAATCATAGAGTTAAGAATACTTACCAGCTACTTGTAAGAATAATGGTAATAAATGTTCCGTAAATAATGGTGTTGGTAAACGCACCAATACTGATTTTAATGCACTTGCAAAATCATGAAAATTATATTTATTCAGTTGGAAAGCGTTTGGATCGAAAGTTGTTTGGAACACAGCCTCTTGTATTTGACGTTTACGTAAGGTATGTCCAGGTTTACGAAATAATCCTTCAACGGAACAAGCTAAAATAATATTTTAAAAAAAATTGAAATATTCTAATAAATGTATTTGAGTTATTTGTAATAATACCGCTTGAAAATATTTGTGTTACAGACGATCTAAAGCCCCGATAATGTAGAAGTGTTGGGCATGGAGTTTACAACTCAAAATACCCGTAAAAAAACATATAAGTCAAAGAAAACCAATCAAACTGTTAAACTCTACCCTGTGGATTGGATAATCTTCTGATAAATGAGTTATGATGCGTCATGGTAAAAGCCGAGAGCCTCCAGGGGTTACTAAGACGACGTCAACTTTGAATAGTCAGAGAAATAATTCATCTATGTACATGGAACGTTCAAACAATGAGATAAAAAATAGCAGCGTTTCGAATAAGTGAAACCTACTGGACACAATATAGACAGAAAAAACTAACCTAGAAAGAGATACTGTTGTATTCTGTTCATCAAAAATATAATGCTACACAAAAGAGCAGTCCCAATGACTCTCTCTCTAAGGAAATACGAAAATCGCTTATGCGATGAAAATCTCATGGCTCACCGAAACATCATTTGAAACAATGAACGACATATTTGGAAGGAGGAACAATTGCTGACAGACTGAAAAGAGGGATTCCTCGTCAACATACCAGAGATGATAGATCTTAATAAGAATAAGAAATACAGAGGCATCAAACTATTGTCGGTAACAGCCATAGGTTTCAACGGTGTTATTGAATCGTAGGAAATATTTAGTGGACACCCAACATACAAGTGAACAAGTCAGATTTCATTAGGATAGATCATGCATCTACCAAATCGCAATGCTACAGATCATTGTTGAATAGTCAATAGGATGGAACACATCCTTAAAATGAGGAAGCATTCAACAGTGTAGATTATAAGCTCGTGTGAGATCTTCGATATTATGCGGTACCTGACAAGATTGAGACCATCGTGCAAAACTCCACGAATGGCTGAACTGCAGAGTCAGTTATTGAGGAGGGTCAGAGGTGTATTGCAAGTGAAGACTGGTTCCAGAACACTAAACATATGGTTAAGAATCGTAGAGACAAAAGACTTTAGATGGTTGTGTGATGAAGCAGCTGAGAACTGTTTAGTGGATCATTGTTGAACAGTCAATAGAATGGGACTGATTATTGTATATTAGCTTCCTTAAAAATGAGAAATCATTCAACAATGTGCATAGTAAAATCGTATGAAACTTTCTTCGACACTATTGAATAATAATAAATGAATAAAAAGAAATGATAATCAGAATGTATATTTACCTTCATCATTATCCAAACAATCAATCAAGGTGATAATGTTATTCGCTAGTTCATCAGGAATATAATCCGATTTTACTGGATCTAATGGTGTAAACAAAATAAATAAATAAACGTGACAAATTCATGTTACTTCTTGTAAATCATCGATAAAAATCTAAGCGAAACTGTGAAGAAACTATTTTTGTTTTGTTTTGTAGAGAGGATGATAACAGACAGAGTAGTATGGGGTCAAGCAGACAATCATTGAAATATATGTATGTATTACTAATAGCAATATACTAGTAAATAATTTGTATGAAAAAACTAGACTACTATAAATTCACTTGGTCTTGTTTTACTCGTAACTTCCCATTGTTATTTAGGACTGCAATTGATCAATCTCTTATTGGCATATATTCATCCTGTGGGGATTGCCTCAATATAACCTTAGTTCACAAGTATTATAAGCAAAGATGAATAGTGGTTAGTAGTAGAATCCAGTTTGACGCGCGTTTCGTTCTATTACGGAATCGTCAACTTGTATCTCAGAATTCATGTTCACTGCGGGACTCGAACCCAGTACCGTTTGTTTCAAATGCCACCACGTTCTTCACTTAGCTACTGATTCCCGATGGTAAATCACTTGTGTAATGAGATGAATTTTTCAATTCACTTGATATTGTTTACTTGAATCTTCCCATTGTTAATTTAAGACTGCAAATGATCAGTCTTATGTTGACATATGTTTGAATTCATGAAGATTTTATTACAAAATTATGTTAAAAGTAAACATCTGTGAATTACGTTGTAATTAAAACAACAAATAGGATACACTATATGTTTATCATATATTAATACACATGTAAATCATTAGCCTAAATGGCTCTTCTTTTGTACTTATAATGTAACTATTATTATCTCTTCTATACTAATTCATTTCGTTTATTAGATTGACCTTTAGACATGAATATTCAGACAATTTCATTCATTAACTTATGTATAAAATGTAATAATTACACATAAACAATAAATAATTCTATTTTGAAAAAGGTATTCACTTCAATTTGGGCATCTGGGCAATATCACAACTCTCTCTCCCTCACACACACACACACACACACACAAATCAATGATGATAAGTGGCCTTATTGTTATTGAGTGGCACATAATGTCATTTGGTGCCCCACCTCTGCTTGTACTAATGTTTGTGCTTTTAAATAAATAAATAAATAAGTAAACAATTTAATTCAGTATAATTTATGATTGAATAACATCTGTGATAAATTTTTCCCATAGAAAAGAATAGTCTTAGTTACATTTTGATATTATTAATGATGACAATACACAAAATGTGCAACAATAAGCACAAAAAAAGGGGGAAGAAAGGGAGAGAGGGAAAAACATACACACCTGTGAACGGATAGTAATAATGATGGTGATGATGATGATGATGATTCAATGAAATGAAACTTGTTTCTTATCATATTTGGAGGGCTACATAAAAAGAAATAAGTACATACCAGCTGTGTTTTGTTTTGTTTTTTGATAGACAAAAAGTTAAGAGGATTGAAATCATGAGTCAATTGAAGCTAGATCACCATGGAAAACCTGAAAGCACTGGGCGGCCTTTTCATCCTAGCATAGGACTCCTCAACAGTGCGCATCCACAATCCCGCATCCCGCGAGATTCGAACCCAGGACATATCAGTCATGATTTCAATTTAACAAATTTTCAAAATCTCCACAAACCCCTTCTGATAAGACAAAAATTTAATTAGAATTTGTATTTTTCTATTAATTGAAATAAATTTTAAAAAATATGCGCTCGCGAGCGAGACTAACATGCTCTGGTTTCGAATTTCGTGAGGCGAGATCGTAGATGCACATTGTTGATGAGTCCCACAATAGAACGAAACTGCCGTCCAGTGCTTCCAGGTTTTTTATGGTGATGTAGCTTCAATTGATTCATGATCTCAACTATTAAAATTTACAATAATATCTACAAAAACCCCTTCTTGTACTATAGATTATTTGTTCAAGATATAGTATTCAATGTTCTAAAATTAGTTGGATCATTATTTACACTGATTTACTAATGTAGACAACCATATAACAGTAATACTCAACAAAATTATACCAATTTTGAAGACAATTCATGTATAAACGAGTTAATTAATATAACTTTTATGCTTGTTAAATAGAATATTCATCCAATAGACACTAACGGTTGACTTAATTTATGTCTGAACAAATTTAAACAACAATATATGAATAGTTTGTGTTGAGGTTTCACAAGGAACCTAACAAACATTTAATCAATTAGTTTCAAATGCCATGGTACGGCCGAAAGTGGAGGGAGTCAGCTCTCCCGCTCAAAATGATCTCATATGCTCACATGCATACAACCACTGTCACACAAATCCTTCTCACTGCATTCTCAAAGCATTACTGTTGTTTACGAAATTGAGCGGACGAAAAGTGAATGTCCGACTCTTTAAGTGGATTGGTGGATATAGAGCATCTATCTAGGGGAGTTGGAAAACCCTCATTTCAAACCAATGGTGCACATGGGCTCCAGTATCTTGAAGGAACAAATGGTGTATGAACCAATTGTTGATCACCGGCTACCATGAAACTGTGTCTTTTGACGTTACTCTACTGCCTTGTGGATTAGTCCTGTGGGTCGAAGGCTCCGAGTGTGATCCTCTAAGAAAACCACCTGTTTCGGTTTGGGCACCCGAGCAGTACCCCAGTCTTCACACAAATCAAATGATTTATGTGGTGCATATCTGTTTGATGCCTCTTTGCACCGATATTTATAAATAGTCTATATTGTTACATTTCGGTGAATATGACCAAAACCGATAATTGTCGTTGCAGAACTCAACATTTTACTTGTCTAAGCAATTAGTTCATGTAAATAAATATAAACTTAATTAGATGTTGAAGATCAATGATGTTCTTCTTTAAAAAATAAAAAAAAAACTCGATTCAACTTGATTTGATTGATTCACAAGTGATCTAACCAACTAAACAAACAAAGAACAACTAGCTATTCAATGTAAACTTACTACTTTTTTTTTCAATATCGATAAGTATTACATCATAAATCAATTGCTATTTATTTATTTATTTATTTATTATTGTTATGTAATCACTATTTCCTTTTATTCTTTTAAGAATTGTAACCTGTAATGTTTCACACCATTGTTCACTCTTTATTACGTAATTATTTGAATGGTCAATTTGATAAACAAAAATATCAATGATACATATGAATGACATCATAATGACTATCAATGGCATCATAAAATATAAATAACCGGCAACATAACACGGGAAAGAGTATACCCTTTATGAAGTCAACACCACCATCACCACCAACAACCAAAAAACAAACAAAGATATTGTAAGGGAACAATCATTCAATGAATAACACAATTCAAGTGTGAAAAAATCAAACAACAACATCATCTTAATGATTCATCAAATTATTTATGATTCGTTAGAATTGGGGTTTTTGTTTACTTTTTTCGTTTTGGTTTTTAGTTTTCACCTAATGAAAAATGATTAATTTTCGATGTCTGTCAAATAAAATTAATGAAGTCAATTAGACAAAACAAAAAAAAATGATCACGTACACCATTTCCATGTACAGTAATAATAGTAATGGGTACACAGAAAGGAATACACATGCTACTTATGTATGAATTTGAATTTAACACAATCCAGTCATGAAAACTGAACTTATCATGAAATGACAAAATTTGTTTGATCAATGAGAAACAAGTTGAGATATTGATGTTTATCAATTGAATCTATTCAAGGATTCACGATTGTCATTATTAAAGATTAATTGAGAAGATTAACATTTCTTATCTGTAATCAGAAGGGGTTTTTTGTGGATATTATAGTAATTCAAGCTAAACCACCATATGAAAACCTGGTCTGTTGTGAGATAGTAACTCATTGATGACAGTGGTGGACGGTGAAGCAATACCGTGGATTGGTTGAATTTAGACATTAACAGTGTTAGATGTTGGTTAGCTCAGTGGTCTCTAGTGGCTAAATGATCGTCTGCGAGACCGATAGATCCTGGGTTCGGATCTCGCGAGGCGTGGTCATGGGTGCGCACGGTTGAGTCCCACAATAGGACGAAACGGCCATCCAGTGATTTCAGGTTTTCCATGGTGATCTAGTTTTAATTGACTCATAAATTCAACTATAAAATTTGAAATTTGGAAAGAATTAATGTAAACTTCCAGGTTGAATTTTAATATTCACATTTCCCTATTTGTTCCATTCGCTGTTTAGTTTTATTACTGTTAAATGATAAGTAAAACTAGAATATTCACCTCTTGTTTATTACATATCAGAGGGAAAATTATTGAAATGGAGCAGTAGATTAGTACCACAAATAATTTACCAATACAACCAATAAAACTTAATGGTTGAATTCATGAATCGATCTAAGCTAGACCATAATTGAAAATCTGGAAGCACTGGATGGCAATTTCATCCTAGTATAAGAATACTTAATAGCATACATCCACTATCAAACCCAGGACATTTGGTCTTGCTTGCCAACGCCTGAACTCTAGGGCATTGAGCCGGCATTCAACGGTGTTAATGTCTAATTTCAGTCTATTCATGGTCCCACGTGCGAAACCATGGATGTGCACTGCTGATGAGTCTCATACTGGGGCGAAACGGATGTTCAGGTAGTCCATGTATTCAATTGTGGTCTAGCTTATATCGATTGATGAATTCAACTACCAAATTACTACAATCTCCACAAAAACCCTTAATCTGAAAAGTTTTTTTTTTAATCAAAAATAATGTTCTCGAAACCTTAGTAAACTGAAAGGTAGTCACAACATAATTCATTCTAATGTATATTCAAATGTTACCATTACGTTTTTCTTCATATTTAAATCAGATAGAATAAGATTCAGTTGTTGTACTTTTAATAAATATCTAGACATCTGTTTTACCTCCCCACACCATCCTACCCCTTTCCATTGATTCGCTCTCATTCTATACATTCCAGTAACATACATATATCATACTTTGTTTTAAGATACATTCTTACTGTCTGGAATTTCTTTTCTTTGCAGTACTATTCATTATAAATTTCATACAATCTTGGTGTTTTTACATTCGTCCCCAAAGTAAGTTTACAAACTTACAAATATTTATATAGATGTAGTAATTATAATGTAGATAGTGTGCTTCAGTGAAATGATAGTAACCCTATTTGTACAAATATTTTTTGTTTAAAATGAAAACATGAAAGAAGTGAAGAAGTTGAATTTCTTGTGTCTATTCCATATAACTGAAGTGTCATATACTAGAGATACATTTTATTTTTGTTTAAACAATAGAATAAATTATCTTGACAACTTGATATGATGGAAACAACTACTTAAATTGTGTATTTTTGATACAATTTGTCTAGTGATTGTTTCGATACAGTTTTAGTGTTTAGAAACAGTTTGTGTGTGTGTGTGTGTAGAACAGACCTGTTTATGTTCATAATTTAAATAAAACAACATTGTTTTTGAAACACTTTACAGTAATGAAACACCTAGCATAACTAACTGCTCACTAACTCATCCACCCCTATACATATGCACACAATACACATAAATTTATATAATTGCAAGGAAGAAGAAAAGAAAACTAGTAAACAGAACGAAAAGGGAAAAAAATAACGACAATTTAGGTATAAAATAGCCAAGGATTCTTACACATCGGTTCATTCCATTAAGTGATTAAAAGAATAACGTGAAGTATAGATGAAAGAAAGAAAGAAGGAAAGAAAAGACGGACAACTAGACAAGAGAACAATTCAGATAAACAAAAAAACAAAAGAATTTTAAGAAATGCAAAAATGTATTATTAATTTTTATGGTTGTCACTAACTAAATACAACAATTAATAACTAAGGCATGTAAAGTGACACTTAATACACATACACCTTTCACATTAATATCGATACAATTAACCCTGATAATTGTTATTTTATTATTTATTTATTTAAACATGTAAATATTGGTATAAAGGGGCACCAAATACATATGCGATACACAAGATTGATTTATGTGAGAACTGTGGTATTGCCCGGGTGCCCAAACCGAAACAGGGGGGCAACACCCTGAGCCTTGACCTAAATGTCTTATCCACAAGGAGCAATGTTCATAGGTTTATACACCATTTGTTCTTACAGGATTTTGGAGCCCATGTTCACGATTGGTTTGGAATGAGGGTTTTTCAACTCGTCCTCTCTATTTCGTAAATAACATCCCCGCCTCGAGAAGGACTTCTCTGTCAGTTTTTGTATGCACGTGGCCATGTAAGAGTATTTCGAGAGGGCGAAGTGACTCTCCCCACTCTCATTTGAGCATTTCTGGGCCAAATTATTAAGGACTTCCTAGTATTATCAAGTTGCCAGGGTGAATAATTGATTTAATTTAACCAAAATCAGATATAAAATAAATAATGCTCAGTTGAATGATTAATTATTTGATGCATTTATGAAACATTAAGAAAACTGGCAACAATAACATGAAAAAATTTGTTGATGTTAACATGAATTTCAGAGAAATAGTAAGGAACAGAAACGGTATTCAAGAGCATTTTACGCAACAAGGCAAAAAACAAACCCGTACAAAGAATAAGCAGGGAATAATACCATTTCATTCTTCATCATGTGATCGCAAATAATGAGGTTAAGAGATCCGACTATAAGATCATACAAAAATTGAAATACAATTTGATAATCCTATGATTTGTTTGCATTATTTTCTTCAATTATATCACATTCTAGCATATAGTTTACTAATTATGAATAGCTAGCATACTCATTAATGGCGTCGGTGTATACACTCCCTGTCTTCCCTTAAACTAAGAGATTAAAATCGCTTCATACCTTTCTTTCTACGAACCAATTTTTTCTTCTTGTACTATATCTCTATATGCAATCTTTCTCTTATATATTACCACCTTTGACCTAACCACTGCTATGAATCCGGTGTTCATCTTGTGCTGATGCGGTATGGCAACCTAGACCGATGCACATATGTGCCTGGTCTACGTTGTAGCTGACTGACTGACTGACTGACATTGATGGTGTATATATCGTTTTATTTTTTTTATATGGTGTAGTATACATAAGCCAGATGAACGAAAATGTTTTAGATTAGTATGTTAAGTGATCTACAAAGTTTGATGATGTTTAAGATACAAAAAACGAAATTGGTATAAATATAGAAATCATTCATTTATTCATCGGTTCAAATTACTAAACCATATTAACACAGAGACTAAATTATCAAGACATATCTCTTAACTAGTATAAATAACATCAACAAGTTTGACATAGAAGACATAATTCCTAAGGAAATATATGTGAAACTGTAATCGATTCTGGGTTATGTCATTCAGTCATTAAAAAAAAAAATTCATATACTACTTACGTGAATTGATACGCCAATTATTCCATAATCGTTTAAGTCTTGATTTTGTAGTTCCACCAATATTTACAGAATTCATCATAGTTGATTTAGTATCTTTACATACATTAGTTGTTACTAGAATTAAAAGGATGAATAGTATTATCACCATTACTATTATTATTGTTACTATGGGTAATTAATTTTTGATCAATAAAATTCCATGGTATATCAATTAAAAATGATAAATGTACCATGCATAATTCTTGAAAACGACGTGGATAATATTCACGAAATAATTTAATTTTCCAATCTTCTTTGATACCAATTCTTAAACGATATGAATAATCTTTAATAGTTAATTGTAATGTATTATGATTATTATTATTATTGTTATATGTGTTATTAGTTATTTGATTATGATCCATTTTAAAATAATTTTGATCTTGTCAAATGTAGAATAAATTTATTATCAATATTGAAACTGGATGGTAACTTGTAGGTTTTTATTTACATTCAATAATAAAAAAATAGGGTGGTGAATAATTCCTAATGAAGTTTAAGGAACCAAGTGTGTGTTTCATTGGTTAAATTAATTTCTACTTATTCATTAGTATAATGGTGACTTGTGATTGGATGTGATGTATCGTAGCGGGGGTGAGTGAGATGGTGGGATGGATTCTGAAAGAACGATTACTATTATTAGTATGCTCTTTCACAAATATAAACTCAATAAATATTTTCATTAAGACATAAGAGGTAAAAATTGAGTAAAGAAGTATTATCAGTATAGGGTTGTGGAGATTATTAAGTTTTTGATTGAGATCATAAACCGATTAATGTTAGACCGCCAATGGAAATCTGGAAGCACCGGATGGCCATTTCGTCCTATTATGGAACTCCTCCAAAGTGCGCATCCACGATCCCGTCTCGCGGAACTCGAACCCAGGACCTTCAGTCTCACGCGCGAACGCTTAATCTCTAGACCACTGGTGGTCTAACATCAATCGATTCACGATTTCGATCAAAAACTAAAGAAATATTATTTTTAACAATTAACTCTTCATCATGGCTTTATATCAACCAATATAGGTAGATTTTATATTTGAATACATATATGATCAATACCAATCAAAAGGTTATAAATCAATTAAACGTGTTACCTATCAGTAATAATAGTGGGTATAATGAACAACTAGATCAGATGAGTGGAATTGCCATTGAAATGAATCCCTCAATAAGATGTGTATAAATTCTTAATTCAAATAGCTTACAGCTAGTTGTAACTGTCCAATTAAAGGGATCGATCCAACCAACTTATCAATAAATCAATAATTTTAAGTCGGAAGTCGTTTCTATCTAACTGTATTGCTAATGTCATACTGTGTTACTAATGATCCTTTAATTATGAGAACTGATTACAGAAATTAAAAAAAATTAGATGTATCTTTAGAGGAAAATTTAGGTTAGGTCCCTGGATGAGAGTGAATAAAAGTGTATACCAATATGTTTGGGACGTAAATATTTTTTTGTGAGTTATTTTGGCTTCCATTATATGTGAAAGCCAGAACATTAAAGTTTCGACAGGTTAGAGTTCCATTATATCACTTCCTTATCCTGAATTGATTACACATGTGTTCTTTGATAAATCCTGAATGGTGGTGTCTGGAAATCCAACAATGAATTAACCTGGTCTCCTCTTTTTATTCGAGGTCAAGTCAGACTGACGAATTGATTGAATATTGTTCATTTTATTTATTTATTTAAACACATAAATATTGGTACAAGGAGGCACCAAATAGAAATGCACCACATAAATCATTTGATTTGTGTGAAGACTGGGGTACTGCTCGGGTGCCCAAACCAAAACAGGTGGTTTTCTTAGGGGACCGCATCCGAAGCCTTTGACCTAAAGGTCTAATCCACAAGGCAGGTTAGGAGATGCAGTTTCGTGGTAGCCGGTGACCAACAATTGGTTCATACACCATTTGTTCCTTCAAGATACTGGAGCCTATGTGCACCATTGGTTTGAAATGAGGGTTTTCCAACTCATATGAGAGCATTTTGAGCGGGAGAGCTGACTCTCTCCACTTTCGGCCATAGCAGAGCATTTGGAGGTTCAGTGAATTAGCCTGGTCTCCTCCTTTTATTCGAGGTCAATTTAATCTGACAAATTGATTGAATATTATTCATTAGTGAGTTATGAATTAGTGCTATCTTGAACAGAATGAACTAATTTACTGTAAGTGAAGGGTATATCTTATAGCCTTGTCGATTATATAAATATTTTGTTTTATAAATAATTGTATAGTAGATAGCTCATTTCATAAATGTTCAGAATCCTCCTGTCTATCAATTGTCATTGTAGAATAACTTTAATGATTAAGCTATGCATTTTACGTTAGAATAACATTCATATTCAGGCTGATGAAAATCTTTATATATGTAATTTTAATGAAGATTAGATAAACACTTATCAGTGATGAAATGATTTGTTTAGCAATTTCTTTGCTAATTTTTGGCCAACTTCTGTTCCATTATGTGAAATATCCTGTCATGTTGAAGATATATCATGTGATGATGTTTACACGAAGAATAATAGTAATCATAATGATAATAATAAGAGATATTCAGATCACCTTGACATAGATCATGACATCATAACAGGTGGCCTGTTTGAATATCTGGGCTACCTGTTCCTACCATCTGTTATCTGTTTTCTTGTTTGTTTTAACACATCATTATGCTCATTAGTCGCATAAGCTATTCAGGAGCGTTTATGACAAGTTTACATCATTTCGCTGCACAAGTTACAAAAGAGCTCAATTAAAGACATCATGGTGGCTGGTAATATACATTAAAAAGAATGAACATTATTTAGATGTCGATTCCTGAACTGCTAACATCTGACTGGCGACCACTCAATATTTATCGTCAGGATCGATCAAGAAATAAGAAAAGGGAGCTTTTTGAAATACTTTGTACTGAGAATTCTATATTGTATCAAGAATATAATATTGAATGAAGCCAATCATCATCATAATAAACCAAATATACAAAAAAAATTGATAAGTTACTTGAAACAATACCAGAGATTTTCATTCTAGATTACCAGGTTAATTCACTGTCCCATTTCCAGGCCTCACTATTCAAGATTGAACAAAGAACACAAGACAATAGTAAGAAACTCTATCCTTACATATATATATGTATACAGAACTTCGACGTATCTTTTTTCTAATGATAGATGCACATACTTTGTATCCCAGTTAAAAGGACGTTAGATTTTGAGTATGTTTTACTATGCATATGAAATGTTTAAGTACTTGTTGTGTGTAGATATCTTTTTCTATTGTTCCTTTATGACAATGATCCAGGGAATAAAGTATACAAGCCTATTCCTGTCCGTCTCTCTCTTTCTGTCTACTTGTTTATTTACCCAGGCTACAGAGTAAAACTTTTTTTTTTAATTGTCTTGGTAAGTCCCAATCTGACTTGAGACAATGTAACATAGCAACTGTAATTACACTGCTATATTGTCTTATTAAATGAGTGTATTCGACTAAATATTCGACTTTGAATTCGAAACAAAAATGGTTGATGAAATAATAAATACACCAAGTGACATTCTAGTAGGATCAAATAAATCAGATTGTCATCACTACAGTTTATAATCAAATAATTCATCTATAAAGAACCTAGCTCATATTACTATTGTACCATTCAAGTCTGTGTATAGATTGTTGGATTTCGAACTACTTGATGGAGTCCAAGAATATTTTCCACAAACAGACCCTCATTACATGATGTCTACTGAATGTCAAATCTCTTTCGATCTAGTAATTGTTTAAATTATTTATCAGAAGGGGTTTTGTGGACATTATAGTAATTTCAATAGTTGAGATCATGAGTTAATTGAAGCTAGATCACCATGGAAAACCTGGAAACACTGGACTGCCATTTCGTCATATTGTGGGACTCCTCAGTAGTGTGCATCCACAATGTCGCTTCACGAAATTTGAACCCATGACCTGTCAGCCTCGCTCACAAACGCTTAACCTCTAAACCAATGAGTCGGCCATCCAGTGCTTCCAGGTTTTCCATGGTGATCTAGCTTCAGTTGACTCATGATCTCAACTATTAAATTTAAATTATTCATGTTGGAATATGATTAAAAATATTATTGATCGAGTTTTTATTGTTACTTATCTAGTTTTAGAATTAAATATTGCATGCTTAACTGCACGCTTGAGAACTATAAAATGACTTTTCGTGGTAGAATGTTATTATCAAAAGTTGCAGTCAAGTAAATAAAAGTCAATTAAGCTTGTAAGAAAATATTCAAATACCTCTTTACTTATATTCACGTGGTATTGTTTACTTGAAACTTCCCATTGATGTTTAGAACTATAATTGATCAGTCTCTTATTGGTATATGTGCATCCTATGCGGATTGCCTCGATATTGCCTTAATTCACGATCATTCTAAGCAAAGATGGATAGTGGCTAGTGGTGAAAACCAGGACGCACGTTTCATCCTATTTGGGACTCGTCAGCTGGATATGCCAACACTTCAGAGTTGATGTTTTCCCTAGGACTCGAATCCAGTACCGTTCCCTTTAAACACCATCACGTTATCCACTTATCTACTGAGTTCTGACAGTTCTGATCAATAGTATGAGTGTTATCGCTTTAATATTTATGATCGAAAATATATTTTATTTTATTTAAACATATAAATATTGGTATAAAAAGGGCACCAAACACATATGCGACACACAATTAAGTCACTTGATTTGTTTATGGGCTGTGATACTACCAGGGTGCTCAGACTGACACAGGTGAGTTTTTGGGATCCACACCCGGAGCCTTTGACCTAAAGATATAATCCACAAGGCAGTAGAGCAATGTCAAAAGACACAGTCTCATGGTAGCCGGTGACCAACAACGGGTTCATACACCGTTTGTTACTTCAGGATACTGGAGCCCATATGCACGATTGGTTTAAAATAAAGGTTTTCTAACTCCCCTATGTGGATCCTTCATATTTGTTAGTATCGTTGTTTTATCAGGATCAAATATAATTTGTACAAGCCTAGATAGGTTCGTCAATTGGAATTTTCTTAAATATATATTACCATGATTACTTTCTATATACACTCGCAATCTATG